AAAAAAAAAAAAAAAAAAAACAAATGCCGGACAAGTTTTTTTCACTTTTTCTTATCAACTTTTGTCAACTTGACGCAAACTCGGTCAAAGCATAAATTGTGTCGGCCAAGTTTTTTAATTTTTTTTTGCCTTTTATCAACTTTTGTTACCAACTTGATGCACACTCCCGCAGGTCAAGTGGGATACCTCGCAGCTATAATTTGGCTTACTGGGCTAAGTTACTCGGTTAAAAATTTGGTACCAACTTAGTTAATTAACTTGGCTAACTCACGGTTAAAAAAATGTTACCAACTTCGTTAATTAACTTGGCTAACTCACGGTTAAAAAAATGTTACCAACTTCGTTAATTAACTTGGCTAACTCACGTCAAACTCGGTTAAAAAAATGTTAACAACTTCATTAACTGGGCCTAACTCTGTTCACTTGCAGTTAACTTGTTAACTAATTCGATCAAATCATGGTCCGCCTATGGTTAACTTAGTAGTTAAGACTTAAAACATAGTTACCGTGGTCAACCCTTGGGGTTGGCACAGTCAGTTAGCTTGCGGTTTGCTCGGTTACATGTTTTGCACACTTGTTACCTCATATGAAGGTGGGTGGGTGGGTGTTTATGGGGCTTAATCAGTCTTGTATGAAGAAAGGGGGGGCAGAGGGGGGGGGAGGGGCAGCAGCTTTATATGCCCCACTTGTGTGCCATTAGAGGAGGGGGTAAAGGGGAAGCATAGTACAAAGTTGCGAAGTTGCAGACCCAAAGAAAGGGCACTAAAAAGTTGGTGAAAGTGTTTACATATATATCGTCACAAACAGTATATATATCGTCAAATAGAACTGCCGACGGTAAACCGTAGGCAGAGAGGGAGAAGAGGACAACAAACGAGGGGCTGTGACATATATATATATATATCGTCAAATAGATATTGTAATTACAGACCTTTAAAGAAACCTTTCAAAAAAAAAAAAAAAAAAAAAAAAAAAAAAAAAACTTTTAACAGCTTGTAATCAATGTAAAAAAAAAAAAAAAAAAGAACGTCTGACAAACACCAACTCAACAGAGTATGACACTGTACGCCAAACTTCAATCGTCATCTTCGATCGATCTCTCCTTCGACTGCTCATTTTCGCACTATAAAATTGTTTTAAACCACCCCCGATGTCCACCTATCCATTTATAGTGGGTGTATCTCTCAGTAATATCCAGCCAGATGCGCAACTGCAAGACCTCCAATCAACCTCCTGTTTCAACATTCATTACACATCCCAGTGAACTCCACATCATTCAACTCCGCCTCTCAGGGCATGCATATTCACACTAGGGACTTTTCTGGATCTCTCTCTCCTCAATTATGGTCAGATGCTCCCCCCCCCCCCCCCTCCCCCTTCAAGTCCTCCCTCAACCTCCTATTTCAAAACATAGCACATCCAAGCGAGAAGCTTCTTTCAACTCACCCTCTCTATGGGCAGATAAGTGCAAAATCCTCAGCTCCTCCAAAACATCACGTCAGTAGACTCAGTACAGAGAATGACAATGGAAACGAGTCAGTGCACAGTGCCTGCAACTCTGCATTCCTGCCTGCAATTTTTCCTGCCTGCAACTTCTCCTGCCTGCAACTTCTCCTGCCTGCCATTTTTCCTGCCTGCGACTGCCATTTTTCCTGTCTGCAACTGCAGTTTATTCCTGCCTGCAGCTGTTCCTGCCTGCAACTGCAATTTGTCCTGCCTGCAACTCTACACCCCTGCAACCTTTCCTGCCTGCCGTCTTCACCCGAATACGATGCGCGGTCATTATCGTTCTATCCGGTGAAGACGGTAGGCAACCCTCCTGCCTGCGACTCTGACCTGCCTACCTGCAACGTTTCCTGTCTGCAACCCTCCTGCCTGCAATTTTTCATGCCTGCAACTTTTCCTGCCTGCGACTCTACCCCCCTGTGGCATTTCCTGTCTGCAACTCTGCCTGCCTACCTGCAACTTTTCCTGGCTGTCACTCTGCCTGCCTGCAACGAATGCAGGTGAGCGGGCGTCAACGCCTGCAAGTCCACACACACCTGCAACTTGTCCCTACTGCAACTCTCTGCCCGCAGTCAGGCTGAGCGTTTCCTACCCCTACAACTCTTTACCCTGCCTGCAACTTTTCCAAACCACTGCAACTTTTTTTCAGCCTGCGACTCTGTCCGCAGGCGGTGCGCTCACAGACTTCCCTGCCTACACACAGTCAGTCGCAGGTCAGACCTGCAGAGAGGAAAAGGGGCCCCCAGAGTTTTCAGCCTGCCACTTTTCCGCCCTTCCGGCAAACCCAGATGCTTTGCGCACCGAGCCCCGCTGACAGCGTGTGCACCTCTGCTTGCCATGCAGAATTTCCAACTCGCAACCTGCACTTTTCTGTGCTCACAGCCGCTATTCAGTGCTCTGCCCGGAAATGAGTCGAACCCTTCCACCCCCCTCACCACCCTAACCTTGGAGAGTTGGGGGGGGGGGGGGAGGGGGAGGGGAGGAGGGTTTGACTCATTTCAGGTCAGAAGAGCCGCTTTTCGATGCTCTGCACTGAAATGGGTTGAACCCTGTTTTTGCACCCCTCCTAACGTCGGACGGTGCCTCCCCTCCGACCGATGACTAAGAGTCCGTCAGCCTCCCATTATGAGCATCATATTCATCGTTCTAAAAATAGTAATAAAGCCTTGCACCGAAGTTGAAGGTCAAAGTCAAACTTTCTTTTTCCTTTTTCCTTTTTCCTGCCAGTGTCTATTCAAACCGGCAGAATTGACTCTGTGAAGTTTGCAGTACCTCACCCTCGAAAAGATTTCCTCTCCGGTCTTTTGGGACCCTCTGTTACAATTGGAACGATACAGAGAAGACTAGCATGCAATAATCATTAAAAAAAAAAAAAAAAAAAAGATTTCCTCTCCTCCTATACCTGAGAGTTGGTCATCTCGCTCGCCGCTCTGAGCATTAATTGCACTCAGAAAATGCCTTAACCAAGAGTTAAGGTCGTAGTACGAATCTCTGGTCAAAGTCAAAGTTCATTCAAAAAACAGGATTTGACTTCATGAAGTTTGTCCTTACCTCCACCTCCACCTCCACCTCCACATCAACCTCCACGTCAACGTCAACATCAACCTCAACGTCAACCTCAACCTCAACCTCAACGTCAAAGTCAAAGTCAAAGTCAACATCAAAGTCGGCGTCAACGTCAACGTCGTCAACATCAACATCAACATCAACCTCGACCTCGGTTTAAAGTTTAAACTTTAAACCCGCTTTGAATCTACGGCAGAAAAAAGATTTGACCAAATCTCGTCAAAGGCTGCTACTTGCGTGCGCAAGGGACCTGCTGCAGTTTCAAACTCGTTGCAGGATTGTGTACGTTGTTGCTGTATAACCTATCCTGTTTTACGGTATTCACTGCACTTTTTTACAGTGAGGTGAGGTCACCGTAAAAAAAGTGACTTTGTTCCATGTAACCTGACCTTTGTTACCGTAAGCTGACCTGTTTTTTACTGTGATCTGAACGCAAGAGTACGAGTGTTCAATTGACGTCATTATCATCGACGATTACGATCAGCAAGCTTTCGATCGTCGAGGTCTTCTGCTGCCACCATGGCCCCCAAAATACATTCGGCCCCATGGCCACGACAAGTTATTCGAAAATAACGAGAAGTTGCAATCCTCTCTGTCATTCTCTTTTTTTTTTCAATTTTTTTTTTCAAGGCTCTAGATTATAATCTATAACATCAACTGTTTTATCTTTGCATCTAGGCTACCAACCAGGCCGGCCAGGGCCCTTTATTTGCCCGGGCGGCCCGGCCTTGCAACGACCAAAAAAAGATCCCAGCAAAAAAAGAAACAAATCCAAAAATGATTTCAAAATCTGAAAACAATTTACGTTATGCAGAAAAATAAACCGAGCAACTTTTGCCTCAGGGTCACATCGGAATTCTTATATAGTCAAACAGAGCTGCCTGGTAATGTGATATATATATCGTCACAAACAGAAGTGCCCGGTAAACCGTAGGCAGAGAGAGAGAAAAGGACAACAAGCGAGGGGTTGTGACAAACTGTTTCGTCGGAGTTGTAGGCAGAGAGGGAGAAGAGGACAACAAATGACTATTTTTAGCATTTAGTTCGCCGAACGGCAAACAGAACTATAACCTCATTTAGTTCGACTGAAAGTTTAGTATTTACTATTTTTAGCATCTTGCTATCTCCTCATGAAAGACTTATTGCCAACAACAACAACAACAACAATGTCATTTAAAATTTCAAAACTTTAAATTACTTCCACCTGCTACTGGCCCACCACTTTTATTTATTCTTTGCTTTGCCGGCGCGACTTTACGATGACGCACGCATACACGTCAGCTCCATCATCGATGTTGCGGTCTCCTATTCAAAACATTTCTCAACAGTGTTGCACGACTTGAGAGAGCGCGGTGCGCTCGTCAAGCCAGGAAACACTAACTACTTATTATGTATTATTTACTATTTTTAGTGTTTAGTACTGTTTACTTCATTTGCAGGCTGCCGCCTCACCCCACAATTGCCTGCTGCTGACAATTCACATAACTTTTTTTTTTTTTTTTTTAATGAATTGTACAATGCTCCAATCTATTCGCGGGCAGCAACATGCTGCTGACAATTCACAGACTAATCTTTTTTTTTTTTTTTTTCTTAACAATCACCAGTCCCACGGCTAGGAGAGGTATATTAACTATTCTAGATTATTGTCTTGTCCGTGTCTGAGACTGCCGCGTTATTTCACATCGTTTTTTTCCCCCTCTTTCCCCC